AGGAACCCGGCAAGAGACAGCGGCAAGGAGGTGGGGGGCTAGAGCTGCTGCCTGTGGGCGGACATGTGCAAACTGGAAGATGTCTGTAGTCCTAAAAACCTCACTGAGTTTGGATGTATCCAGCTTTTCCAGAGTGTGGGTTATATACTTTGCTGAGAGCATATTTTCTTCTTTGGCTGGCCCTGTTTTAAAAGTTTCTTAAGGACTTGGCAATCAAATGGAGCTCCCGTTTTAACATTTGAGTTGTTCTGAAGCCCATTGATATTTTTTGTTTGAACTGTACAACCAGAAGACAGAATCATATCATACATTAAAATGTGTGCAGGCAAGTTTATATTCTACTTCTTGTTATGGTTATGATAATTAGCTTTTGGTTTTGTGTTTTTCCCCAGCTCCCTGAAAAGCTTTTGTATTCTCAAGGTTGCAACTGGATTCAGCAATACAGTTTTGGGCCGGAAAGATACACGGGTCCCAATGTCTTTGGTAAATTGCGCAAATGTATGGAGACGTTAAAGACCAACGTGAGTATTTAGAAGATGGTTGGGGGGAAAAGCACGGAGAAGTAGGTTGAGACAGAGGGAACTGCTCATATTTACATATTTCTATGGCAGTCAGCCTCTCTCCTAGGTTCAGAGAGCTGAGCTGCTGGACAGACCATCGCCTCGAGAGGAATCCGTTGTTTTGGAGTGCTAAGTCCTTGGGGTTCCCCTGAAAGTTAGGGAGGCCATCCTCCCCACAGCTGTTAGTTGCAGCATGGTTAGTTGCCCTTGCCATCAAGTGGCTCCTGCAGTACTGCGTCATTTTGATTAAACATAATAACGTGCTGTGTGAGATCCTCCTAGAGTCCCTCCCCAAATAGGAGGGAACAAACAAATAGTGCGTTTTCTTCTCAGATTGTGTTCTCCTCTGCTCCTCTCTAAACAAAACGTCGTATTTATACAGTTTTATTATCATTTCTCTCTGTAAGCTGAAGCACTCAGCTTACAAAGACCCGTCAAGCCTCACTGCCCGCTCTGCTTGGCATTGCCAGATTGCCTGCATTCCCAACCCAGAGTACAACTCTTACAAGTTTAAAGCTTTGCGAGTTTTAGTAGCTCTAAAGACTTTTGAAACAGAGATATAAGGACCTTGCACCTTCCTTGAGCTCCCTGGGGGTTTCTGCATGTCTGCAGTTGCGTGAGCTCTGGACTGTTCCTATTTGCTCTGCCACAAGCTGTCCCTAGCACACCACCATGCTCTCCTCCCCATCTTCCTCTGGCCGGGCCGTTGCTTTGTATACTCTCCTGGGTCACGGTCATGAAGTGGATACTGGTATTTGCTGGACTCCAGGGTTTTGGCCAAGATTAGGTTGAAACTCTTATTTGAAGCCATCCATTATCCAGTATATCAGACCTTGAACTGTCATTTTTAAGTCTACAATATACCTTATGTTCTGAGATGTCTTACCAACAGCTTGTTTTACTGGTACACATTTAAGTTAGTTTCTTTTATGTGGCCCTGCATATATGAGCCACAGCTCTGTAGTTTTAAACCCTCTTATCAGTGATAATAATTTTTCCTTAAAACAAAACAAAATGCCACAACCAAAAAAAAAAAACCTACTTACTTAGCTCTAGAATTAAAGCATTAGAAATTAAAAGAGGAAATTAAAATAGAGATCTAGTCCTTGTTCCTTGCCTGCAACCTTACTGTGCCACAGTGAAAACTGCCCGTCCTCTTGAGATGTGCCTGGTGGTTCTTGTGTGTGGTTATCATTCTGTTCTGGTCGCTCTTTGCATTTGCCAGTGCTGAGTTGTTGGGCTTTAATTTTTAAGTTGATGTCATTCTTTGAAGTTGATGTTAGTTCCTTAGCACGAAGCATTCAAACTGGCTGCTTGTACAGAAAAAAGTTTCAAGTTAGCCTGATGAACGAATCCATACAATTAACAAATTGTTGCAGAGCAGCTGTGCTATGCATTATGATGTTATTGGGCATGACTTCTAGCTCCCAACCTCATTTTATTTTTATAAAGATGCTGTTTGGCCAATGAGATGGATTTTTGCCTCTTTTTGCTAACAGGGTTCTCTGCTGCCTTTCCCAGCTCCATCATGCAGATGCTGTTGTGCCTGGGCTGTGTTGGTTGATAGGCACTTTATGCTTTGGATGCACTTTTCACTTAGGTGGTAGAGGTCCTCTTGCAAAAGTGCATTAGTGGTTCATCCACTTGGTCTCATTTTCAACCTTTAAGGAGAGTCTTCAGGAATGCATGAAGTGATGGAGGATCTGTTTATTGATTTAGTATTCATCAGTAAGTTAGATTTTTTTTATTGTTGTTGAAATTCATCGTTTATGGCCACTTCAACATATAAATGACACAAGCACAGAATTAACTGAAATTCATTTGAATCCCAGTCATTGAGCATCATTGTACAGACTGGCGATTGTTCCTGTTTTGGAATATTTCATATTAAATAGAATTCCTAATGACTTGATGAATGTTCTTCTGTGTGCTTTCTAGTGGACTGAAATAAGTGCTACTAAAGATCATGAAGAAAGAGGAAACATGTGTAATACACTCTTTTCTGATGAGAGCAAGGAGCACAAACTGTATGAGGCCATAAAATTCATCATGCTCTATGAAGTTGTTGAAGCCTATGAGCAGATAAAGAACAGGGAGGAACCTATACACAACTTTTTTAGCCTTCTCCTTGCTCGTGATTCTTCGTCTGACCCTTTGAGTTTCATGATGAATCATCTGAATGCCATAGGTGACTCTATTTGCCTCGACCAGGTAATGATATAAATGAAAAATAAATCACAAAAGTTATTCCTTCTCTGACGTGATTAAGTGAATATATCATACATCATCCATGATAGCTGGTGTATTTTTTTTCCTTTGGGATGTGGGTAAGTGGACTGAGGACAGGCATTTAACTTCCAGGAAAGAAAGCCTATAGTAGAGTAGAGTGGGGTTTCTTGCTGGGCCATAAATAAATGATGCAAGCTATCAGTGAGAAATAGTTTAGAGCAATGATACCTTTGATATGTAAAATAATATTAGATTATGCAGATTTGACCCGTTGTTTCGGTTTTCCTATCTGTTCCGCCATGCCCAACCCTCTATCATCACTCTATTTTTTCCCCTCTCTTTGGTTCCCCTTAGATCTGATATCTGTTAAGAGTAGGTAATGAGAACTCTGTTAATTGTTCACCTTTATAGGTTAAGATTTTTTTTTTTTCAATTTTATATTTAGTGAGGAGTTAAGTACTGACAAGTTAATCAAGTTAAGTCAACTGTTAATGTTGTAGTCTCGTTCAGGAGCAGTTTGATTATAACTGGACATGTTCTGCTCTGTCTGACTATGCCCAAGGATATGAGCTTTTTCCAAAGCATTTTTCCAGATTAAACAATTGTTTTCAAGAAGTCTCAAGGAAGATGCCAGTTCTCAAATTCTATATACATGAAGTACAAGGAAATTTTTCTCTTTTACTATTATATTTCCTTCATGTAACAAGTGATCACAAGGTGGCAGGCTTCCCATTTTTCAAGGTATATCAATCTCAATAATAGCTAGTCTCTTCTTGGTCCCCACTCAGTGTGTGAGCTAGCCTTGGGAGCTGCTTATGTATTCCGTCAGGTGGAAGAGGGGTGTTTCCAAAGTCACAAGCAGAATATCCTCTACATGCAAAAGAGCAGTCGAAGGACTGTTGGAACATTGAGAATACCCTCAAACTTTAAATTTTCTTACTTCACTTACAGAAGCACCCTTTTATTCCTTGTTTACTGTTTTGAAGCTAGGTGACTTGCCTTAATTTGGATTCTCTTTGATTTAGTTTTTTAAGTCTAGAAAAAAATGTCTTACAGACTTCTTTTGTCTTTAGGTTGAACTGTTTCTTCTTGGATACTTACTTGAAGTAAAGATACGAGTTTACAGACTGCATAGGTTTAATACTGAGGAATTTAAAGTAAACTATCCAGATGAATACCGAAGGGAATGGAATGAGATTTCTCTCCTGACTGAGGACGATCGCTACTATCATATCCCCCTTTTCAGAACGTGAAGCACCAGTGACTTTTATTCCTTTGTATAATATAATGAGTGACCAGTTCCAGTGAATTAGGTTTCTAATTGGCAGAAGTAAGATTTTGAGAATGCTCGTTAATGATTACAAAATGATTTATGGGTTTATTGTGTAAACATTTTGCTTTCCCATTACAGCTCGATTCGCCACCAGTCAGCCGTAAAAAAAACATTAAATATTTTGCTATACTATCTGGGGCAAAATGTCATATTTGAGAGTTGTCAGACAAAGAAGCTTAGACTGCATGACAAAGAAGGCAAAGGTAATACTAAGTTTTCCATTGTTAGCCTGAGGGTTTACTCTGGCATCTCTGGATAGGTTAAACTCAAGTTCCTAAAGCAATTACTGCTTTTCCCTCATCTATCCCTAGCTAGAGAGGATGAATCACGCAGGAAACAATTCCAGGGGTCCCAGAGTTTATACTCTGGGCTATTAACTTGCATTGACCTGAGTCTACCTAGGACGGGAGGATGTAAACTGGGGCCTCTGTGGAGCTGCTTCAAATCTCATTTGGCTTCCCCAGTTGCTGGAATGTCTCCTTCCAGGGATGGGCAGAGCAAGCAGCAGCAGGCTGTACTTACTTCAGACACCTGAAATGAAACTGTCCACAATCAGTGCTGATATCTGAAGGTGAAGAAGTGTTAACACAGGAGCAAAGAAACCCAACACATACACACGCAAAAGAATACTGTGCCAGATGAAGGGAAGACCTACTTTATAACTGAGGAAAGTCTGCAAGCTTTCCCAAAGTTAAAAAGGGCGGTGTTAATTAATAAGTTAGACCCGGTAGCTGTCTATGTTTTTTGTCAACTTGTAAATCCCTTAAGGGCTGATTTCAACATTACCTGCCAAGAGACATGAAGATTTTCATTGCAATTCATCTAAGCAAGCTGTGCACAGAATACATTCACAAACACTGTATTTTTAGAAAATATTAATTTTCCATGCATTATGTGCGTTTGGCAGTGCATGTACATGTTATATCTTCTGTGTATATATTAATCTCTTTGCGTAAGATTGCTATCTTTGGTTTAGACCTCAATGTGTGAAGAAGTCTGTCTGGGACAACTGAATGAGATTCATTTTATTCTGTGGAACATTTTGCCCAGTTCTATTTTCTAAAAGAAATCAATTGTGTTTTGATTATTTCTAAAATAAGGGACCTTAATTTGAAAAAATATTAAAATAATATAGCAGATCTTTCAAAATATTTGTGAAAAGCTTACAATCCCTTAGGCGTATGGTTGTATTGAAAAAGTGGCGGTTTACTAAGAAACAAAGCCTTGCCTTTCCTTATGCTAGAGCTATAAGGACTAGCAGGTTTGTTTTTAACTCTTGGAAGAGGAAATGCAAGCCAGTAACAAAAACGTGAAGAGGGCCTGCAGGAGCTGAAGCAGTTGCATGAGGTAACTAAATGGTAATGCTTGCAGTGCTCAGAGACTGTCAGTTCCTTGTATAAAGGAAAGCAATTTTATCTCTTATAATCCTTTTATTTGTATGTATATATATATTTATAAGCACAAACACCTGAGTTCTGTATTGTAACAGTTTTGTTTCCTGAAAGTTTTTCTGAGTTCAGTTTTGTTCAATAATTTGTGGCTTTTAGTTAAGAAGGCTTGATACCTATAATAATTTCATCTCATCAAAACCTGCTTATCAAATACTTTATTTATTAAAAGAAACTTTTTTCACTGATCGAAATAGTTTGCCTACTTTAGACTTGGTTCTGCTCCGTATGGGGAAATGTTACAGTGCCTGAGAGTAGGGTATTGCTGCCTGTTTTGCATCAACGGTAATAGTTACAGCCATCAATAAACTTGTCTATATTTTATTCTTGTTTTGGTACAAGCAGACATACTAAAAAAAGGATGCGTTTTTATAGGGGGCTTTTTAATGGTTTGCATATTATTTATGAATAGGAATACAAAAGCATTACAGCTGAAAGTGTTAAATTGTCAAAATGTACATTTTTGTAATCTTGAGCATATTAATAGCAGGGAGTTAATAAAGATCTAACACAGACAGTGGAATTGGCCTCACCGATTTGGATGTTTGCATCTGAACTAGGTCACCTTGGGCTCTCTGCCTTGTCCGTGGAGGGTAATGGCATGCAGTCAGCTGGAGGATTGGGTCTCTAGAAGGGTCTGGTTCTCCTCACTGACAGTAGTGGGAGCTGGCAGTCATCAGCATAAGTCTCTCTGCTCTAGATGTTTGAAGTTAGGTGAGATTAATTTTGTCCCAAGAATCCAGAAAGGACATGTAGAAACAGATCTGCTGGTTTATCAGATGTCAGAGGTGCTAGCTGAATCATGGCAGGAACAGAAATGGGATGTGAAGAAAGAGGAACTTCAGATGAGGATAATTGCAAATCTTGGAGGTAAGTGCAGAGACCTCTATGCAGGATCTCAGGAAACACTGAGACAGGTTTGGGGCTGCACTGAGTTTTAATCAGGTTCTCTGAAAATATTTTTTACATATAAAGAAATATATGTATATACATATATATGTATGTATAGATAAAAGAAAAATACATAAAAATCATCCTGAATAAAGTGTATCTGGAACTAACTGGTACTATAGAAGTGACAGGTGCTGCAGCATCTTTTCCCATCAGTGGCACAGACAAACTTGCTGTACAAATCCAGAAGCACACAGTCATACCAGTTGTTTTTTTTTAAATGCAGTGTCATAGGCAGCTGAAGTTTCAAGTCAGGATATATTTATTTATTGCTTCTGTTCACACTGAAACCTCAGCAGTGGGTTTGGATTTTTCCCCAAACTTGAAAATGTGTGTTAAGAATCTAAGAACAGCTGAAGAAATTTCTCTTTTATTATAATGGGAGAAAAAAGGCCTTGTTTTGGAATTTCATTTTTTTTAAAAATTGCATCCCAAAAAAGTGTATTAACCACAATCCATTTTGCATTTTAACTCCAGAGCAAGTACTGGCAATCTCAATTCTTCTACTCTAATACTGACATTGCTTCTTGACTAGATTATGGCTACTAAGTTGAAGCAAATTTAAGATTGCCCAGTGTAGTTGTTGGTTGCCGGTAAGTCTACCTGCTTAGTCTCAGGGTATTGAGCTTAATGTCTAGGAAATAGTTTTCAAATGCAGTCTGTAATTTGCCTAAAGCACAGATTTAAGAAATATGTATGATTTCAAATTAGTTTAGTTGTCCAGAAAAATAAAGACACATCCATTCTCTTCAAAACAGAGAAAATGCATATATAATTGTTTGGGGTTTTTTTTTGCCAGTAGCTGGATTTCCCAGTAGTGCTACAGCAGTCCCACGCATGACCGTTACCTTAGGACCATTACAGCACTAATGTTTTTTGGAGTCTTAATTTTTCTGAAAAGTTCCTGATTCTGAAGCAAAGACGAAGTTGGGATTTTGGTGCCACAGAAGCCCTGGTCCTTCCCTCTTGGCTTGTGAGGGTTTCGGGGTGCCTGAAGGCCTCCCTGGGAAGGGAGAAACAAGAAAGTCCTTTCATTTTGGCCTGGTTTCGTGAGAGGGCAGGATATGGGTCTGTGAGGACCAATTAACATAATTTGGGAGAGGAGCCTGGCACAGCAGCTGGGCTGGAGAGGTGCTGCTGCCTCACCAGATGGCATTCCTTCCTGTTCACAGCATCCTTCGTGGTGTTGGTCCAACCCTGATTTTGGCCAGGGGTGGGGCAGGCAGCCTTGCAGAGGTTTTTTCAGAAATTTGTCCAAAACTTTCCAAGGAAATCCATGCACCCCCGAGACAGGAGGTGATGTTCCTAGCAGGGACACAAGATAAATGCAGAAAACCATCTGCCTGGGGCTTGGCTGGTTTGCACCTCTGTTCGTGGACTGCGGACCTTTGTGTCAGCTTTGCATCAGCCAGGGCTAGTGGGTGAGGATGGCTGGGGTGTTGCTGGGACCGGTGGCGTGGGGTTGTGTGTACTGGTCAATGAGGGAAAAATGGAAAACATGAAAGAAGTAGGGTGGGTGCTGGATGCTTTCATCTTCCAGCATATTCCAGTTTTGCATAATTCAAAGATTAATGCCTCGGGAAGGCATTTAACCAAAACATCTTCCTCTTTAGTGAAGTGTTTGGCCATATGTCAACTCTTTATTGAAATGTGGAGGCAGTAATTTGAATGCACTTGAGCAAGCTTGTGTGCAGCAACTGCTGAAGTCAATAGCACATATAGCACCTAATAACTCCCTGTGTCCTCTAAGCCAAGTTCTCAAGTTCAGCTGAATGTCTTCCCCGTGGTAGCAATTTTCAAGACTGTGATACACTGCGTCTGACAAATACTGGAAATGATTAGCCTTTGAGTTTCAGATGACAAATACGGCATTCAGCTGTGAAGGATTTTGTGTTCTTTTTACCTATCCAGTAGATGGCTTCCAAGCATCAGAAAATGTAGTTCAACAAGCTCAGTTCTCCTGGCAATCCTTTGATTGCCACACTTGCCCAGGTGTCAGTGGTGGGTTGGCCCTGGCCAACAGCCAAGCACCCACACTGAGCTGCTCGCTCACTCCCCACCACTCCAGCAGGATGAGGGAGAAAAAGGGAAGAACCAGAAGAAGAAATTTAGGTCAAGATAGGGAAATCACTTACCACACATCATCATGGGCAAAACAGCCTCAACTTGGGGAAGTTAACTTAATTTGTTGCAAATTAGCACAAATATTTAATAACTGATTTGAGCACTGGGAAACAAAAAAAGACAACGTTAAAACACTTTGGGGAAAAAAACACCTCTCTCTCTTTCCCAGGCTCAGCTTCACTTGACTCTTCTCCTTGTTACCACAGGTCACAGTCCCTTCAGTGAGGCAACGAGCAGCGTGGGGGGGTTGTGGTCAGATGTAGTGATTTGCCTGTGCCCCTCCTCATTCCTCACTCCTTTCCTATGCTTCAATGCAAGTCCTTCACAAGCTGCAGTCTCCCCCTTCAAGGGCGTACCTGCTCCAGTGATGGCTTGGGATAAGTAAGTTCTAAAACTCTTAGTAAGTTACATGTTAATTATCAATTTTATAAAAGTCTATTCAGCTGAATACAGCTTCTATCCATGTTACTGGAAAGAAAAAAAAAGGAAAAACTAAGTCTGTTTTTGTTGTCTTGCTTCTTTTTTGCTTCTTTAATGTCCTATCACATGCACCTATA